CTCTATACTGAAGATCAGATGGCCGGGCCGGAAAGAATCACCAACATAAACTATGGGAACAAACAAAACAAGAACCAATCGCCAAACCAACATATATGCACGAAAAAGTGGAGATGGATTGGACACTTGCTGAAGAGGCCGCTGGATGACACCGCGCGCTCGTCAGGCAATTGCTCGAGTGGAACCCGAAAGGGAAGTGGCGAGTGGGACGTCAGTGCAAGGGTGACATGGAGGAGATCGTGTGAAGAGGAATTGAAACAGTATGGACTAACATGTATGCAGGTGAAAAGTACAGCAGAAGACAGAAGTGGCAAGTGGAGACGTGCAGTTGAAGCCCTATTTTCCACTAGGAACCCAAGGGAGCAATAATAATAATACAGCTTACATGATTATTCCCCACTAGGTGTCTAGCTTCACTGTTCAAGTCGATTAATTAGGCCGAGGATATGTAGTAGAGCATGCAAGGCATTTAGTTTATAGCCGCTTAACTGCTGCTGCATGATCTCTAATTAATAAAGCATGCACTAGCGTCCAGCAGTATTGATCTTGAAAATATACTTCATATTTCATTTCCATTCTTTTACAGTTCGAGTGCAACGCAGGACTGCAAGTTTGAGGTTTTCGAAGTTTCAGTGTATGGGGGTTGTTGATTTGGTGTTTACAGGGCGGGTTCTCTAGCTTCACATCAAATCTCTCGTTTTTACTGGGCTTTCTGTTGGCTTAGAGAGATCTTGAAGTGTGCCAATAGGGATTCAAACCTGGACGTCCTGAGTGATTGTTAAACATTATGCCAAGAAAACGCTACTACCACACTTCGTATTTTTGACGATCCAACTGTTGTTCTACCTTTAGCTTAAAAGTTCCCCACGGCTTATGTCACTTAAGGGAAGTTTGGGTAGTCAGTTGTCATTTACGCCTACTAATGAATCATCATGTCTTCTTTACTTAATCTATCTTGATGTTAAATGGCTGGGGACGATAGGCAGAAAGCCCTCTATCTAGACCTGAGTTTCGTTCATGTTGGCACTCATCAGAAGTCCTTGTCTACAATCTTGAAGGAACTCATGCCTCCTCTGAGGTGTGGACTCAAGTTTACCCAGTTTTCCAGTCACAAACTTTATCACTGGGTTATTCAGGCCCATGATAGACCTCCTCCTGTACGGCTATATGGACGCAGTGATTAGCCACACTACGCGGAATAACCAATGTCATACATCTAGTTCTTAGTGTTGGTGCACACTGAATTCTACCAGTCAAGTCTACTATACCCTCATCAAGCTATATGACATTGGTTACACTCAAATGATCAATCCATGCATCAGTCCACCTTCCTGCACCCTCCAGCCCCCGTGGGAGAATTAAACTGATTGAAAATATTATCATAACTCAACAACAATTTCCAACAGAAACACATCATCCTCTGAGAAGAAATGGGTGAATTAGATTCTCAGATTATTATTTATGATAAATCGCGTAATACATTCTTTTTAAACCTGAAATATCTTCATTTGGTGAATAGTGTTAAAAAGTTAAAATGATTAGTATTCAAAGATAGACAGACAAATACGTGTGGTAGAGACAGAGACAGGGAGATAGAGAAAGAGAGAGAGAGAGAAACTCAAGTAGTCAGTATCCAATATATAACATGTATGAACAAGTTATTACCCTAAGATATATATATATATATATATATATATATATATATATATATGTGAAATTTGTGTTTGTCATTTTGCGTTTTGTTAGCCTTATTATTGTTTTTATGTATTGCTATTTTAATCATTATTTTTTTTAAAATATATACATATAACTTCATTATTTATCATTATTTTTGAATGTACAAGTCTTTCTACTAAAATGTTTAAAATGCAACTGAATAAAATAATTCTGTGTTGGACATTTTGAAGTATTCAGTGTGATCAATGTATATATATTTGTATATACAAATGGTATACATTGAACATTGAATGTGATTTTTATTTTCATGTACATTCACGTACATATTTGTGTAATCTAAGCTAATACTGATAGTTAGTTGAATGATTTGAATAAAATACTTATAGACTAAGAATGTTATTAGTCTTCACCTGTTAGAATAGTATTAAAGTGCTAATTTAAACTATGATTTCATTAGGATTTTAAATATAAGTCATGTGTAGACGTCAATCAGACAGTCTGTCACTTTAGTTGATTTAACCATCAGCATATATATGTTTGTGTAATTAGTCTTCATGCTACTCCATAGGTCGTCATCAGCTTAGTTGACTTTCATAGGATAGAATGGACAGGAAGTGATGCATTGTTGACTCTACAGTTCAGGATATGAACTAACAAGAAGTTAATACTAGTAGCTACGTAACTAGTTCATAAGTCCAAACTATTTTAAAGCTATCCGATTGAATCCAAGTTATACCACGAAATGAAATGATTCAGAAAGCGATTGAAAACCAGGGATTAGTGGACGGCTTTTTTCATCCTAGTTGGAGACTCTTGAGCAGTACATACCCAAGAACTTGTGTCTTATAGAACTCAGGAGCTTTACGTTACAAAGCTAACCCGCTGAACACTAACCAGTGATATGGAATCAATGGCTCATGAATTCTAACTTTTACCAGTTTTCTAGACAGATAGTGTCACCATCAGTCATTGTTATCGGCAAGTATTTGTCCAAACATCCGACTTGTTGCAGCCTACTAGTCCTGACTTCTTACGGGAACTCCAAATAGACACTATTGGGTAGTGGACTAATTCTCAAGTGTTCCTTCCTGGTGCGCGTCGGTGGCACAGCGGTTAGGACGCTCGACAGCAATGCACATGGTCCCGGGTTCGGTCCCCAGCCGACGCACTCCTTTACCTCGCTAAGCCAGAAATAATGCTGGTGAAGAGGAAAGGTTGGGCATGAGGATAGCAACCCCATCCTGTAAAAATAAACACCACTGCTACAGAAACTTCAAGCCTCTCCCTTGAAGCCATATGTTCCAGTGGGAATGTGAAGGGATAAAAGAATAGTTGGGTTCTCTGAGCTCGATGGTTTACTTGCGAATCTTTCATTGCATTACCAAGCAACATCTTTAGCGGATACTTCAATTTAAGCTACAAATCTCCATTATTTGATAAATACATATATATGAAATTCTCACAGCAACCAAAACTTCATTCACATTTATTAATATAGCATTACTCAAATGTTTGAATAATACTGAGCAGTATGTGAATAGCTTTCAATTCTTTTTCATGGATTTTAACTAAGCTAATGCTTCTTTCTGGTTGGGAATATCGTTGGCATAAATCATGATAATATGCAGAAGATGTATCATATTCATTGTGTTTTGTATATGTTCTTTTATCATTCATTTCAAGTGTTAGTCACGGACTGACTTTAGTTACGGAACCATAGGAAACTGCCCGCGTGTGTTGCTGTAGATTTCCGAACTAGAATGAAACAGCTATCCAGCACGCTGTGCTGATTCCAGCTGCTCTCTAAGTGACGCCAGTAAGTGATCAAAATAACATTTGAAAATTCATTAGTTACGTCATATTTTCAATCTTAATTAAGTATGTTGTAGACACCTACTTCAGTTCGTAAGAAATAAATTTCTTGGTTGGAGGGTTTCGTAATGAGCTGACATCAGTTAGAGAATCAGTGGAAAACTGGGAGTACTGGACGACTGTTTCGTCAACACACTTTGGGACTCTTCATCAGTACACACCCGCAGCTAAGGTTCGAAACCAGGAGCTTATGCTTACAAGGCGAGGTCGTAGACTATTAAGCCACCGGGACCCGACCCAAAGACCAGCCCATGAATCCCAAATTCTGCCTAACACAATCCCTACAAAACCAATGATTGAAAATTAATCTGATGCTCACTAGCGACTGGTCGTATTCAGGCAGTTAACCTGAGGTTCTTATGGGAAGCCGTGACCAGTAGGGTACGGCAGGTTGAGGGTGAGGCAGTAACTCATTGAAGAAGACATTGAAAAGTGGTCGCGCTAAGTCACGAATCGGCAGAAGTTAGAATTCATGGGCTGGTCATTGGATCGGATCCCAGTGGCTTAGTGGTCTACGAGGTAGCCCCGCCTTGTAACCAGAAGCTCCTGGGTTCGAACTTCGGTGGGTGCGTACTGATGAAGAGTCCCAAACTGGGCTGACAAAACAGCTGTCCAGTACAACCAGTTTTCCACTGATTCTCTAACTGATGTCACCTCATGATGAAATCCTCCAACCAATCAAACACAATCCTTACAAAACCAATACCTGAAAGATAATTTTCTATTGAAAATGTTGATTATGAGGGTAGGTATAAAGTGTAGACCAATATGATTGCGTAACAGTGATTTTATTACTGTTTCTTATACTGTGTTGTCATATTTAAAGGTATATGAATACAGTTTGACATAGTTTCGCATTAGGTACGATAATCACTTTGTGTTTGGGTCTTTGAAGGGTAATCAGTTCCTTAGAAGTTGATGATTCACTTTATTGACAACTACCTGTAACGACAAAACCTACACCTAAGACTTTATACCTAAAGTTTTCAATCACTGAACATTAATTCAATGTTTATCGCCATAGCAACTGTCCCGAAGTTGATGACCACACTGAAAAGTTAACTAGTAGTATTCAGTCACTATTCGGACTAGATATACAAAAATGTTCTTTATTTTTTGGTGATATTGATTTATAATGAGATCTACCATGGAAAAAATCATGATTATTCATTGATTTGCGCGTCAGTAATCCAGCGATACAGCATTCAACAACCACGCAGGTGGTTCAGATAAGACTTCCAAGAGATCCAACTGGTAGTACAAAGCCAGTTTAAAGAGGAAACAGGCTTAAGGATAGCAACCACACCTTACAGAATAAAGCACCACCGTCACTACTGAAACCTCAGTGAACTTAAAGCCTTAAGTTCCACTCAGAATACAAAGGAATAAAAGGTAAATGAACACAAATATACTGGTTAATATAAAAAGCTTCAAGAAACAAATTCACTTACCAAAAGGACCTAAGCGATAATTAAATGTCACTACAACCACTCCTTTAGATGCCAATGCTAAACCAGGATACATATGACTAGAGCCATAAACATAACTTCCACCATGTATATGTACAATGACAGGATATCGTGTATTTGGATCCTCCCACGTACGCTATTGTATTCAAAAAATAAAGAGAGAAGGAAAAGAAATAAAACGATTTACTATTTGTAGATTACACAGATCGAGGTGAAATTTCACCATAATTTCTCCTGAAAAATTAGAAAAATATTCAAATCACAATGGTAATCCACTTAAAAATACAAATGGCGTCAATAAACTGAGAGGAACGACAAGGTAGTATATGCTGCTGGCGGAAATTCTAAAGAAAAGCAAGTAGTTAGTGCTGTTAGCTTATGGTCAATTATTTTATTAAAGCAGCTCAGTTTATTCATTGTTGTTAAAATCATTCCTCCGGATTCCGACTTGATAATAGGAGTTTAAAATTAAATCTCCGTTTCTTCCTATTCCGTTCAGTCTTATATAGCTGACTAAACAATGTGGTCTACAGACGGTCTCCTCCACGTCACTCATGAATGTCAAGCTTGTCGCTTCCCAGTCGCGTTCCGTTCAAGGACCTGGTGGGCGTGGTCATACAATAATTCGAATTGGTCAAGTATACGGCGATACAGGAACATTTACCGATAATAACTGAGTGTCACTTAGATTATGGATGCTTTAGGGATTTACATTAGTATCACTATATGTTTCTTCAATAATCAAAACCACGTGGAGTGCAACTGAAAACTAGGGGATACTGAACAACCACGCCTTCCTAATTTGGGGTTATTATCCAGTGTGTACCTACAACCGTATTGGGGGTAGAACAAAAGACCAAGCCACTTAGGCTGAAAGTGAAGGACACGTAGAATCTAAATTCTTTCAATTTGTTATATGGCCTCAACCAATTTCTCAAACGAGCATCTGATGTTATCATCATATTACATATGTGGTATGTAATCTCGGAAATTTATTATGCTTACAATAATAATAAAGCACGTAAAAGCAATCACTATTTACCACCATTTCTCATCACTTAAATGTAACTGAAAATATAGTCCTTATGTCGCACTATGAATATGGTCTCGAAATATATTTTGCATTTTGAAGTTAGGTTTGGTGTTTTGATTTGCCTTTGGTCCAAGCAGAACAAGTATTATAGGAGTTGGGGGATAAAAACTTACGTTGGTAGACATCGTGCATCGCGTAAACGTCAACATTCTTTCATCTCATTAAAGCTCTTTCCATTGGATGCATATCTATCCATTACCTTTGGCCGGCGTTTCAATTAATTGGGAATGAAAATAATATAACATAGGTGTTTACTAACCACATCAGTGAAAGCTCTGTAGCATCTATTTTATAAAACTAACAAAAATAACCACGCCTTACCCATGATGATCCACAATTAGGGCATGGAAAGACCACCAGAGAAATCCAGTGTATTTTAAACTTTCGTAAGGCAGTAATCCTAAATCAGCAGCAGTTACAGCTAAACTAACAGACCGAAAAACAGTGGCATGTAGTGAAAAGAAAATATTAGAAACTTCTCTCCTAAGTAAATGGCTACTTAGCTGTATGGAATACAAAAATAAATTTTGATCCTCGTAGATACGTGGGAAATATAATAATTATCCCGCATTACACAGAGCAAATTTTGCGTCAATATCTTGGCTTATTTTACCTGAGGTGTCCTCTCATAATCTGACTACTGTTTTGCGACCGATTCCAAAATTCCAAAGAACACAGGTGTATTTTATGATTAAAATATTAGGACAACACTTACATTTGGATAATAGATATTGAGATAAAGACAGTCTTCATTTATATCCTTGAATCCTGGCATAAAGCGGTTTATCCAAATGGGAGGCTGCATGCATGCTGATCTAAAGCGTTTGGCGAACCACGGAAACCGGGTATCTAAGAAGGCAGGGACTGGCATCTGTCATCGAATGTCACATACAGTATTATTGACAAACCCGAAACCTCTGCCCTTCAACCGGAGGTGCTGCATACGGTATTCCCAAAAATACATTCACTAATCGACCTTTTATTGGTGGCCACTGAGACCAAGTATAATCGTAATTTATAGTGGTTGAAAATCCTATAAATTTTCCCATACCAGCTCTAAAAACATCAGTAATTCTGATTAAATAATAACCAACTTCGGAATATCTACTATTACATCATTTGGCATAGGACCATATTGATTAACCTCAGGAATATGAGTAAATCTTTGATTTGGTAGAGGAGTGAAAACAGGTAGTTTGAAAGGATTAGGCTGAGAATTAAAATTCCACCAATTTTGAGCATTATTGTGTGCCACTACCAGAAAAATATGTAACAGTTTAAAGATCCTAAATGTGCAGGTTGAAGTTAGCATCGTTATCAAGTGACAATTTTCAAAAGTGAGTACATAAATGACCTAGACAATATCCAATATAAAATCATTATCTATAGCTATTGTTCCCTCAGTGTTCGCTTCTCTGTGGTTTGGAACGGTTTTGTATCATTTTTGGGTTCTTTTGCAGAAAGTATGTCTCCTAAACTGGTAAACACAGACAGAGGATGGATGTAAATTTATTTTGGGAGGTACGTACAATTTGTACTAGGGTTTTCTCTCTTCTGGAACCTACTTAAGTCGTTTAGCCGGACACTACAGGTAAGCAGAAAGCGAATTAAAAGGGCAGTTGGACAAAATAAATAACAGGAAGATGGAAGGACCGCAAATAAGGCCGATTAGATGAGGAGAATCATATTCCTGAAACTATGATGGGAAGGCATAGTACAAAAAGAGAGAAGCGATAGCGAAGTAATTAACTTGTAAAGATTAAATTATCGGAAGACTAGTGAATCCTTCCAGAACTGGACCGCTTACTCAAAAGATGTAGATAAACCTCTGGTTTTCACATAGCAGTCTAGCGTTCCACCATCTCAGTGGTGGCTACGTCAGCCGGCTAGGAATTCCACACAGGCTGAATTCTGTTTGACAGAAGGTAGACCACACCTTTATTACTCCCTTCTAATGTGAATTATGATGCGATGTAAATATGATCGTAAGCATATTCTGTACGATTGAGTGTAGAGCATGGGTTTGAGTGCATCTAGCTGGCTGTGCATGAATTTTCTAGAAGTAATATCCAAAGACCCCTCCTTGTCTCTTATAGAGAAGGTCTACCATGTGTCAGTAGTATAAAACCTTCTATGCTACCGGTACATTGGTTAAAATTGCATCAGTCTCTGTTGATTACTAAGCGACTTTATGTGGCTCATTTCTTCAGGTGGGTGATATCTTCCTGTAATTAGAGGCTATACTCGCCGGGTGGATAGCAAATTTTCTGATAGATCATTTATAATAATGATTCCAGAATCGTTCCATGCAGCAACACAGTAAAGGATATTCTTCATGTGGAATATATGCCATTTAACGTCACGCAAAACTCCTTCTGCTGAAAGTATATTCCAGTAGAAGATTGTAAAGGTTTGCTAATTCCCACTTTGAAAAATTTCCAGAGAAGCATTTCTAGAGATAAAGTAGAAAGTTTTGGCTACATCTACGATCAGTGTATGATCTGAAGACGCTCTTGTCTTTGTGTGATTTTCAGTGTAATAAGGCTACCTGGAAAATATCAACCTATGATACAGCTTCCTGTGGTATGTCATTTCGATTCAGATAATTCCTAATGTGGTCGTTCACTGTGCTTATCACCAGCTTTGATACTGTCAGCATCAGGCCTGCAGACAAGAGATTTGTCAATTTGCCTGCAACAACTACTAGCTGTTGCCTGCCTAGCGACCGTGGAACAGTCTACTGAATGTAGCAAATGGGACCTCTGTGGGTTGTTTGAGAACCAGTCGTTCAGTGCAGTCACATCTACGAAATGTCACTTGTGGTGCTCTCCTATCTTCTCCAGAACTATAATCCTATTTTTCTGAAACTGAGTAATCTCTGCGATTTTCGAGTGTACATCATTTCGCCGGGAAGGCCAATTTCCATTCACCTCCCTTTTGCTGAACTGTCTATTAAGTCAGTCCTTTAAAGCCTGAGAAACCTCAAAAATGCTAAGGAGTTCGGCACTACCTTACTGAAAACACACCTTCCCTCATAAGCTCACTTCCTCCCAGCCATGACGCGATAGGGAGCTTTAGGTTCGGTTTGTATTCTTCAGGCCGACTTGGTTACTTATGTCATCTTATTTTCTCATTGATAGCTTTCTGGGTAGTAGCTATCGTCGCTGTCACGTAACATCCACCGTTTGAGAGTGGTATTCCGTAGGTAACAACACTTAAGGTGGTCTCTGTTTCAAATTTACGTGGCCTTGTCATAAAAGAATAAGTAGGCAAAGTTTTCCCCGACTAACTGCTCTCTAATGACCAGGTTATGGATCACTTTCAAATGACTCATGATACCTGCACATCATCTGTAAGCAGGTGGTCACTAGCTGGACAGCCTGACCAAGATGGTCCTCTGATGACTATCGCTCACAAACCATCTCTATTGGCTTCGTAGCAGTCTTCAAAGTGCTCAGCATGTCTTTGTCGGACATTTTCCGCAAGTATAACGACATTTATCGAGTTCGCTAGCCACAGTCATCTGGTTGAGTCCCATTTGGTGAATGGGTAGCTGTCGTCACGCAGCCAAGATTGATTTCGTGTATTGTATGTCAGGGTTCGATTAACACCATCAGTCTAGAACCTAACGATGTTTAAAGCCACATCTTAAATTTAGAATAGGTAAACTCCGCGTCGATAAATTCGGATGGATCCAGCTATATATGTATACTATCACTCCAGCTTCGGTCTTTCCTTCAGGTCTTTTCTGCACAATGTTGCTCCGTTAACACTCATTTTTTTGTTTTCACCACTTAGTGATGACCAGGTCTCTGTCGTGGTAATGACTAGGCTTAAAGGAAACGGGCAAATGTGCCGGGAGCTCTTTGTCTTATCTCTAATAGCCCTAATGTCATTGCAGAAACATTTTTGGTTCCCCGCAACGTATTCACTTCGTGTGACGTTAGTACGCTTTGAAGACATTCTAATGGCTATGGTCTTTCTTTAGAGCGAGTAAATATCTTGGGAACTGCGGCCTACAGCTCCACGGGCACGCAACTTTAACACTAATTTTCTATCCATTTGCTCTTAGATTAATAAGATTTTATTACTTGTATAGCCTTTAGTTTTATGCTGAGCCTGAAGTTTCTGAAGCTAACTGACTGCGCTGCTTGAACTGTTTCGCTCTCATTTTCCGTCGGCTTCAACTAAATACAACGCCAGTGATTGTTGTGCAGTTATATACAGCATCCTATACAAGCACTATCAATGATCTAAAATGGCTTACGTGTAGCTTTCTATGTGTCAGTCAACTTACTCATACGGAACAACCATGCAGTGACAAATGGTGGTCTTGGCTGACATTGGTGCAGTAAAACACATCTGCCTGACAATAAACAGTATTGATCTGCATTCAGTGCGATTGACTTCTGGTGCTACTTAGGATAAAATGCTGACAAAATCATTCAAATAAATCACTCATTTCAAATGAATACCCAATCTGAACATAAAACATGAACAAGATACGATGCCGCACACAACAAAGTTATATGAAGCAACTGACTTCAAGCTTTATTTTTTTCTCAAATATTTGTAACTCATCCAACACATACTTAGGTTTTTTGCTAATGCGAAGACAATATTTCTATATTTCTTAATGTGCGCCTTTGAACGAGTAGCTATCAGATTGTGCTCACAAACTAATGTCAGAGAGGACAACAACCATGTAATTTCATCATAAATCGAATTCATGTAATGTAAATAATACTTATCCATGCCTGTACAGTTGGTGTGTCCTACATAGATAGGAATAAATATACCCTGCTAGACATGCGCTTTGGTCACACTGCCTGCTCACAGTTTACCCTGTCCACACAATCAGATGACGAGGCCCCTCTTGACACCATCTCGAACTAGTGGCGAGGGGAAATGCTGTGGTGAGAGCTAGTTGCAAGCCAAAAATTGACAGCAGAAGTTTACGACAATTTTTCGTCCCAAATAGAGTCATCAGAAAAGAATAATAACAATACTTGACCTTGAGAAACTCACCAACCAGTCACAACAAACTTAGGGAGTGAAAAAGGGTTTTGCAAGTGTACAGTTTAATTTTCTAAGAAACGGTTACAAGCAGTATAGAATAACCCTAAGCAAGAAAATAACCGGTCAGAAGACGTTTGTTCTACACTGACAATAACAAAGACAAAATGACAGCACTCGCAAACCAAGCAATTCAAACAATATGCATGCCTATACAATTAATGTATCCTACACAGCTAGGAAAAAGTATGAACCTTATTATACTATCTTTACTAACTATGCTTACTACTCGTATGTGTGATTTATCGAATTGATGATGCTTGTAAACCGGCGTTCCTCATGTACAAAAATGAGAATATATATTACTATTTTTAAAAGTAGGTTAACAAACTTCAAATCAACATATCCAAAAATAATACACCTTGGCGGCATTACTCACGAAAGTGCTGAGGATATAAATGAGGTGTTTAGCACGCATTTTGCCAAACTATACACTCTAGAAAATGACCAGAATATAGATTTCCCACGTAAAACAGAAAAGTGTTTATAATATATATATTCTCTTATAAACATATAAATTTACATGAAAATGCATGCCATTTTTACAGGCACGATCAAGTATGATATAATATCAAATCAAAGATTGTCTACAAGTTAATAATGTTTCAACAGTTAAATATTTGATATATATATAAATACACATTGTCTGAACTAGGCTGTATAGTTATTGAATTGTACAATTGTCCTCTAGGTTGAGCGGGAAAATCGACTTCGTTTCGTTTTCATCCCGTGGTTGTCGGCATACGATAACCAACCAATATTGAGGTAAGTACAACGTTTACAACGGATTGAAAGCTGTTTTTAGAAAAGTAAAAGTGCTAAGGTGAATCAATAAGGTGTAATGAAATGGGTAAGTGCAAGTATCACTAATAAATGCATTAATATAGAAAACTCCCTAGGCTGACAACGTTCATTTGCAATGTATAATGCTACGCGTATATCTGGTAGTATCATGATGTCCACTTTTGGTTTTAATACATTTTTTCCTTATGTCTGTTTTTTTATTTTATGCTTTATTGTGCATTTGGTGCACAACTGTACCTCACAGAGAATAGGAATAGAATAAGTCGAATCAAATTCATAAAGAGCTATAAAATGTTAGGTTTAATGGGATACAATGAGGATTAAGTAAAGACGTTATTAGAAAATGAATCCGATAAGACATTGTGAAGTGGTATTTAAAGATCCGACAATGGACAGCAAGTTAGTTTATAAGATGCCCCATAAATCTGTGCAGATCCCACATGGTCGCATCTCAACAATAGGCTGAGCGAATGGTGTATATTTAAAGGTAGAAGCATGATCTGTCAAGGCGTTCATTATTATCTTTTTCAAGATAAAGATCTAAGCCCTCATAAAAATCAGAAATATCTCGAGCCTTTAATTTGTATATTGCTGTTCCTGCAGAATGGGGCGATTCACCTTAGTGACCACCACCATATCTACTGATCAGCTAGCTCCACCCTTCCTCCTTTTATGATGTTAAGCTCTGAGACTATGATTATTATGGCTACCGCAAATATATTGCTTTGTACCAGACATGTTCGTACCTCATATTCCATCTCCCTAGCTTTCTTAATGAGTGCTTCCAATAGGTTTAAGTGATGTAGTCTTAAACGCCCAAGAAATCGATAAAGCTATCGCAACTCTTAAGCTTACTAATACTCCCGGCCCAAATGGAATGTCTTCCGACTTCTTAAAAAATGGTGGAAATGACATAAATCTACTTCTTCTCAAGATATTTTCAACTTCGATAAGGGGTGGAACATATCCAAATAGCTGGAAGAAATCTTACGTTGTACCCATTCACAAAACCGGACCTACAGCGGACATAGATAACTACCGCCCCATCAACATCACTTCCGTAGTTTTACGTGTGATGGAAAAGGTTGTAAAGAAGCGAATTGTTCAGTATTTGCTCTCGAATGACTTAATATACCTTTTCCAATACAGTTTCTTAAATAGAAGATCGTGCATTACTTGCCAGTTGGATTATTTCGACCACATTACTGAATGTGCAGGCAAAGGTTGTTCGGCAGCAACATCACTTCAAGATGTTAGGAAAACTTTTGATAAGGTCCCTCATAACGGGCTCATATTGAAACTCTTATTTATGGAATAGGTGGAAGGCTACTTGAGTTTATAATATCCTTTCTTACAGGAAGAGAACAGTTAGTTAAAGTCAACCATCACTTATCGGCATCCAAACCAATAACCAGCGGCGTGATACAAGGTAGCGTTCTTGGCTCTACCCTATTCATTGTATTCATAAATGATATTGTCTCTACCATCAAGCATGGCAGGCCGTGCCTCTTTGCAGAGGACCTCAAAGTTGTCTATGATTTCGACTATAATGATATGAATATTGCTAGTAAAATCCAACAAGACCTAAATAGTCTATGTAACTGGAGTGAAAAGTGGCAGTTAACGTTCAATCCAGCTGAGTCTGTGATAACATACTTCGGAAGTTGGAAACCTAGCATGTGTCTATACATGTGCGGTGGCCTTGTCTCAAACACGAACACAGTCGCAGATCTTGGGGTAACATACTCAGATCTTACCTTTACTGAACATGCAAATAAGGTGGTATCTGATTCTAAACGTCTAACCGGCTTTGTGTTACGCAACTTTTACACTTCAGAAGCCAGATTAGCTATATATAAGATATGCATTCACCTCAAATTTGAATACTGTGCCCACTTATACAGTAGCTTTAGATCAGTAAACAGAAAAAAGTTGAAAGTGTTCAAAGATTCCTCACGAAACGCATACTAGTCAACATACAGGAACATACAGGATTAGTTTACCCTTAGAAACAGGACCTATCCCTGATTGTAACCTTCAAACGCTTGCTATATACTGTTTTGTCCCAATGGTTATCCCTACAAGAACCCATCACTTATTTCTAAAACGCATCAGTCATTAGAACACTAAAACTCTCAGACTTATTAATACACATTATGACATTAAATAAACCCTAAGACTTCGCATAAATACGTGAAAACAAATACAATATAGAAAAAAGTTTACTTAGGTATAATATACAACATTTATACATGCTTAAAATATTAATGTCCTTTTCATGTTCACATACTTTCTCTTTCTGGTATTTTGCTGCTCCTATTCATCTTCTGGTCGAGGTCGAACAACCCTGCATCTAAACTGAAATGAGGATTAATTCCAAACCGTCTATCTTATAACCACTCAAATTCCATGAACGATCCAATTCTACCATTTGATGACGCTGGCGAACATGCTGTAAATGAGTATTCATGATCTGAAATGAAGAAGCAACTGGTCTTCAAATAGTTTTCAAAATTTTACTCAACTTACGAATACAGTCCGCCATGCAGACACAAATGGAGCAAATGGAGAATTCTGGAATCGACCTCGGCACCACTTGATGCAGTAAAACAACCCAACATGACCCTATCTAGTTTTCGTATCCACGATCAAATTTCTTTCCTGTTATAAAACTACGATAAGACTACTGAAAAAATGGAATAAATATATCACTGATCTCAACATAATACATCAATAATCTTTAAGCCAAGGGAGCTGTTCACAACAAAGTTATATAGGAGAATTGACTTCAAGCTTTATTTTTCCCAGATATTTGTATTACATTCATCTGATGTCTGGGATTTTGTTAATGCGAAGACAATATTTCTATATCTCTTTATGTGCTACACAAACAAACTTTATAGCAGACTGTTCAGACTGACTTTGATGTCAGAAAGAACAACCAAACTGTAAATTCACTATACATCAAATTTTGTGTAATTTATATGATAACTTATCCATGCCTGTACAATTGGTATGTTCCTGCATAAACAGGAAGAAATATATATATATAATGATCAGCAAATAGAATACCTTGACAGATGTATTCGACTGGACTTAGAACCTTTATGGTTAAGGAGAGCGAAGTGCAATTTATTTCTCTTATTCAAAGTTATAAGAAGGCACTGTAACGGTAACTCATCCATTATTATTATTACATCCTTTAATTCCTAGAGGAACATAGGGCTTCAGCTGCGTGTCTCCATTGCCTTCGGTTTTCTGCCAACTTTTTCACCCCGCTCCAAGTCTGCCCATGTACTTTCATCTCCTCCTCACATGACCTCCTCCAGGTCACCTTTGGACGACCAACTCGCCGCTTCCCTTTCAGGTTCCACTCGAGCGATGGCTTGTCTGGTGATGCCACTTGATGGTTTCCTCAGATTATGGCTGATCCA